TCACAGACTTCCTTCTGAAGACACTTCCTCTCGGATTCAGACTCCGTGAACGTTCCATCCATCTCACGACGCCTATCTTCGGTTTCCTTTATAGCAGCTTGGAGAGTAGCCACGCGATCCTCTGCATCCCTTTTCTGCTTCTTATGATCGTCACAAGCCTTCTGAACATTTGCAAGCTGACGAGTCAGTGAGCGAACAGTCACCTCATAGTCAATCGCGAGGTTCTTAAGCGAAGAAAGGAACTGCCAAACCGAGAAGCAGATCACGAAAAACAAGTTAGAATATCAGGAAGAAGGAAAAGACAAATCGCTATCCCACGAGAGTTGCCACGAAATCATACCGTCACACAATCGAAGGCCATGCTTGAGTAAGATCTCTTCTTCGACATCTCTCCTGGAGGGGGAAACTTAGTGCCTGGGAAAACAATCTGGGACAAATGCGACGCCGCCCACGCAGCATCACCAAAGGACTCCTTCGTTCCAGAAGGAATAGTGGAAGTCGTCACCACACGATCACGTCGAGGAGTTGAAGCGTGCCTCGATCTGTTCAAGTCCTCTTTGTCAGCACTGCCTTTCTCCTTCTCTTCTCGCGAACGCATATGACTTGACCCCGCGTGATCATCCCTTCTCCTCATGTCATGATGATGTCTGTGCGATGACTCAGATCGACGATCAGTGATGACAATATTTTGCTCTAACTCAGATCGACGATCAGTGATGACAATATCCCGTGGTCAAGGGTTCGGTCCCCTTAGACGGCGCCAATCTGTGGACGGCGGATCCTACACAGTTGAATTTGTCAAGGGTTGAAAGGAGAACTGAGTCTTCTGAGTATGAATCATAAAGCAACAGTTGAAGATATGTTTTATTGCTGTTTCTGTTAAGCTCTGGTTACAAATGAATCGATCCCTTTTTTGGGAGATGATAATGAACTATATATAGTACTTCTAAGTAAAATGGACCAGCTAATAAATGGATTTGGCCCATTAAGCAATATATTAAAATTAGGCCCATTAATCCATTAAGCCCATTTTTGTTAATGGGTTTAATGTTATTTTGGGCCTAGATTCAGAATAGGCCTTTGTAGACTTGCTCCGATTTCGTTAGAATGCTGCCCAGTTGATCTTGTCGTTATATCGATCTCATAGGGGTGAAATCCGACCCCTACAAG